CCCCGCCCGCCGGGAGCAGCAGCGCCCCTGCCGGCCGTGCCCGGAACTGCAGCGAGGGGAGAGCGCCTGCAGCCGGAAGGGTCACTGTGTCCTGCTCCTGCTCGCTGCTCGTGCCAGAGGGGTTTGTTTGCCTTATTATACATACCAGTGAAAAACTGCTTTTCCCATTCTATATCTTCACCTGAGAGCCCCTTAATTTCAAATTATAATAATTTGGCGGGAAGGGGTTTACATTTTCCATTCCAAGGGAGGCTCCTGCCTTCCTTAGAAGACACCTGTCTTTTCAAACCAAGACAAACCTTCACTGCAAAAACAGACTCAAGTCCAAGATCCACATAAAAAAATCATTACCAGGCCCTCAGATATGTGACAGCAAAATAATACTGACTGCAGCAGGATAGTAGCATGCAACACAGTGGTTTTGCTGCAGAAAGGATAACATCTGAGCAATATTATCAGATTTTACCATGAAAAAAACAGTGGGGCTGAAAGTAATCTAACAAAAATTCAGAATATTAATGCTCGGGCAGAGCCAAGTGAATTTTTCAGCAGCTCTTTACTTCTCTAGAACCTAGAAACCTTCACAGTCATAACATTCATAGTGTGGCTTTTATGCTTGCACCTCAAAACTGAAGTCTTACATGCTACAAAAAATTACCTTTTGTTTTTCTCTGTAATCTTCACCTTCAAAGTTGTATAAGCTCATCTCTGTGTCCATAGTGAAATTTCGTAGGGAGCTCTCTCCCATTTTCTGCAATCGTTCATTCATTTCCGCTGTCTAAAAAGAGAGGAAGATACCTTTAGGTTCACTCCAGATATTTTATCTTCTCTGAAAAAATCAGCTTTCATCATTACTACAACATTCTCAACATCTTTTTTTGATTTTAACTTTTACTTACATTTTCTTCTAAAAAGCGATACCCATTGTCCTTTTCAATTTAGAGCAATCTGACTTCAAGACTCTCCATTAAGTTAAATTTATTATCCTGGGATGTAGTCCTACAACTGTAGAATTTAACTTTAAAATTTAAATTAAATTTATGCCCATCTCCTTGGAGCTGAAATGGCGGTTCATTTTTTCATAGAGCTATCTATTACCTAATGAAGTCCCATAAAAACTTTGTCTATCATAATTGTTTGCACTAAATTTACATTTTTCTAGAAAAATGTAAATACAAAATAAGCACTGGTTAAGATATGGTCAGCATCAATCTTGAAAATAATTACAATCACTAATTCTACTTCTTCAAAACTTTTATAATATTTAAAATCTGCACAAATAGTAAATAATATATTTACATAATCAGATCTCATTCTATTTTGTGCGTATGTGCTTTGAATTCCATATTAAACAGTCCTCTAACCTTCTTTTCACCTCTTTCTAAAATAGTGGTTATATCTTCTTCTGTCAGCTCACTATCTTTGGAAGCAAAAACATGCGTGGCTCCGTGCCGGATCATCTGCAGCATTTCATCTTTTGCCAGTTTGTTGGACTGTTGGTCTATGAGCCTTCCTACAATCACAAGGAATGTGTTGAAAGTTAAAATATGGGAGTTCTAGTAGGACCATGCAAGCAGTGGATTTTTTTACTTCCCTGACAGAACAAGAAAGGTAAAACAGAACAACCATACAGAAGAAATACATTTCACTCGAGATGAGAATAAATGCAAGTCAGGAACTTTGGGGAAAATTAAAAAAACTTTGATTCAAGCCATAATAAAAAATGTTTCACATTCAGATAATCCAAATTTTACATTTAAGATCTTATTCTTACAAAGTTAGCTGAACTTTTAAAATCACAATCTTATCTCAAGAAAAAAAAAATTGAAAGTATTATATAGTAACCACAAAGTGCTTGATATTTTCAACATTCACATCACTGATTTCAACCCAATTTTCTAATTATTTTTCCCAAAATTTGAATTTCTGTCCCAAAATTTCACTTATCCTATCTCTTCTCATGCTATCACAATTTTGACCATCATCCTTTCAGTAGCCCACTCTTTTAATAAATACAAACAACTTAGCTTGAGTACCTTAGTTTTGACAAACTATTCTTCTAAACCAAAATACACAGAGGTGTTTTATTATTTAGTTAACCGATATATGGTAAGAAGTATATGTATATCATAATTTCAACTGCCATGGAACATACCTGATTTTGCTTTTTTTCTTTTTAACATCTCATAAAACTAAGTAACATCTATTCAGCTATAGTTAGTTTCCTCATGTAGACTCACTATAAATCTATGTCTACATTACTTAGCAAAACAGAATTTAAAAGTAATTCAGCTGAACAAGTGAATACCTTTCACATTAGGTTGACTTAGTACACTGCTATTATACATAAGGCCTGCTTTCTCTAACACTGTACATTTGTACAGTTATTAAACCATACTTTAAGGGACTGAACAATTCTCTTGCAGACAAACATATATACCAGTTTATACCTTGTTGTATAACTATAGAGTCCAGTCTCAGTTTTATTTCAGCTCTTTCTACAATCCTCTCTTCAACAGTATTATCAGTGATAAGTCGGAACACCCGTACTGGTTTCTTTTGACCAATACGATGCGCACGATCCTAACAAACATAAATCAATGAGTGTTCAGCAACAAAAACTCACAAGCAATAGACAGTTAGCTTGCAGAAATAGCAGCCTCAAACTAGCATTGTACTTCTTGGTCCCTTGCCTATTCAAGAGCACAGATCACTGTAAAACCAGTATTCTAATATTTACTTACACCTGGCTAATACACTTTTTTTTAATCATTCCATAGCAATAAATGCATCTCCCTCATTATAAATGAAGATAACTGAATGTTTGTCCAGACTTCAGCTGGGAAGTGGACATACAACAGTATATACATGCATACACTTGTATTGCTTTCAAATTAATTATCTCACTTGACACAGGTATGGATATTCTGCATCCCTGGCTTGAGCAAATTAATTCCATGTGCAGGGTTCCGGCAGCCACAGCTCCAACACTGTGCCTGTCCCAAGCCAGCAAACAAGGTTCAGGACTCACACACTATACTCATTTGTAACAAAACCTGTATTTATCCTCTCTGGAAAACATGTCCTTTTAAATCAAAAAAAAGTTAAACAGCTGTCCTTCAAGCTGTGGGTACCAGGATTTTCTGTCTTTAAATGTGAATTGTTAAATCTTTTACTCTCCTGCATAGTATTCATTTATTTTGGAAAACCCTACTGAAATTCACAAATTACACTTACAGTCTCCAGAAAGTTGGTCAACTATTGGCAGCCAACATGCATATCTAAAAGATCAGCTATTCATATTAAATAGTTGATGCGTTGAAGTGCATTAAAAGAAAATAAAAAATTACAAACCACTGAACAAATACCCACCCTCCTAATCATGCAAGAAAGATCACATGAGTTTTATTGCGCATGAAACAAATTACAGACTTTTATTTTACATTTAGCAGTCAGAAAGAGAAGATTTTAGGAAGTTTTAACCCAAAGGTAACTCCCCCCCACCCCAGCATCACCACCAAATACCTTTATGCTTATGCAGAAACAAAAAGTAAAAACATTTACTTCCCAAATGAGAGAAATACAAGGCTGCATGCTTTTAATTATATGTTATTATTTTGGAAACAATCCTCTATTATTCATTTACTGTTCTCTTCTGAAAAGACAGAATTACGAATAATTCTCTACTTCTTTTAACAATATTGATATAGTATTTTGATAGAAGTAATCTCTCATTATGAAAATAATTAAGACAAGTATTTACAGAAAAAAATCTACAATTTCCTCCACAAATTCTGTTCATGCCCTTTTATTCAATTCCTTTGTTTCTTGGTATTGTCTTGTGTATACAAAAACTAAAGAAAAATAACAAAAATGCAAGCTCTGAAAAGTTACACAAAATAGAACATTGAGAACTTAAACAAAATTGTGTATTAGGGAGTTAACTCACCATGGCTTGCAGATCTACTTGAGGGTTCCAATCTGAATCATAAAGAATAACGACATCAGCAGTTGCCAAATTAATTCCAAGACCTCCAGCTCTGGTACTCAGCATGAAAATGAATTTACTGCTGTTGGGAGCATTAAATGTGTCAATTGCTTCCTGAAAGAAAAAAAAAAGGTGTCACTGAAGTATCAGATCTTTCAAAGAAGTTTCCAGTATGTTGGTGGTTTTCCAATTACATTTATTTTAAACAATTTCCATATAAAAAAGAAATTTATCAAAGAAACTGTATGTTTGGACAGGTGGGAAATTCTGTACTGACTCCACAATTCACTTAGCTGAGGATCAAATGAAACATACTGTGGACTTTAGTTAGGAAAAACATACCCTTAGCAGCTTTTTAAAAACTGTAGCATTTCTGCTTTACTTTAAACAATGACGTGGCTACATACACATATGCAAATAACAACTTATTAACCTAAACCAAAGGCTTTTCTTGTTTGCATTCAAATTTCCCACCTCTCTTTCCTCATGTGGTGTCTGCCCATCAAGTCTGCAGTACTCATAACCACGCCACATGCAATAGTCTTCCAAAATATCCAGCAACCGAGTCATCTGACTGAACAGCAGAACTCTGGAACCTGACAGAACACAGAAGGTTTTGACATTCATTTTATGTTTTCACATTGACCTTATTACAGAGCTACTACAAAGCATGACTGAGAATTTGTGTGAAATATTCTGTACTATGTCTAACTTAAATAAGTCTTTTTTCTGAAGTTACTTTTCTGGTAGTGATTTAACCACTCAAGAATATTATTTGATAAATTATATGGGAGAAATATATAACCAAGGAAACAGAACACTGCAAGCCATTGTAAGGAAATTTGGTGCCAACTGATGTGCATAGATGAAATAATTCTATCATCAGAAATTTTCTTACAGAAAGGAGAAGGGAGGCTCGACTCTTCCTTTCCTTCTACTTATCATTCCTGCAAGATTTCTTTCCCTCGTGTGTTAAGATCTACAGAAAATTAATTTTCAACAAAATCCTCACAGAAAGTGATGAATATATTCACTACAGGAAAGGCTAAACCTGTGCTGTTTTTGAAAGACACTTGAACTTACACAGAGCATTCAGATCACTGCTGTCCATAAACAGTACTTACCCTGTTCTCTGAGTTTTGCCAGCAGTTTATCCAGGACTAACATTTTACCACTATTGGTGATGAGATGAGTGTCAGTGGTGTAAGGCGGGCCTGGCTCAGCACCATCAAACAGGTAAGGATGGTTACAGCACTTCCGCAGCTGCATCAGAATATTCAGCAGACGCATCTTATCCATTTTGCCAGCTGAATTCAGGATATCAATATCTTTCATCAGGATCCTGGTATACCTGAGGTTTTAAGGGCAGTTTTGAACTACTTTACAGTTTTTATTTGAATGAATGAATGAAACCCTGCAATATCCCAATTCTTATTTCTGGATGTGAGAGGTGGCTTTGTTTATATAACTATGAGCTATATTATGAAACTTGGCAAAAATATCTGACTGATAGTAAGGACTTCTAAATTTATACCTAAATACAAAAGGGAATCTCTCTGCAAGTGACAATGATCTGTCATACACTGGATTATTTTACACTTTCATTTTAGCAGTACAAAGTGGATTAAAAATATCACTTATTTGACAGAAACTGCTACACTGACCTGTCTCTTTGTCTCACATCTCTTCTGGGTATGTAGCTGCTCAAGGTTTTAATTTAATTTCAGGTAAGATTTTTTCATGCATACATACTTGGATCAAAGGAGGAAGCTTACAAGGCATTTGTTCTTTCAAATAAGCTAAAGGGAGGAAAAAGTGTCTGCTTTCTTCCTCTCAGCTCTTTTCATTACCCTTCCCGAAACCTGTACATTTCTTACAAAAGGCCTAGGACAGCTGTAACTAAGTTTTTCTATCTGACTGTCTCAACATATAACTGTAAGGAAAAGAGTATCAATGTGAAGAGCTATAGTGTTTAACAGAAAAGAATCTTACCTTGATGTAAATAACTCACCATTCTCTCTGCATTTTGCTGAGCCCAAGATAAATTTTTACTTCCTTCTTTGGAGGTAAACTCTTTTCTACTTCACCTTTTATGCGACGCAAGAGAAATGGCTTCAACACCTACACAAATTAGGATGTTTTACATAGATAAATGTATAAAATTGACTGCCACAAACACAAAATTAACAGAATCAATTATCTGATATTTATTCAGAACTAATCAGTATCTATTGCTGTCATGGTGACTCCATGAGAAAAATTCTGCTAAATTCTGCAAAACAAAGTTGTCCAGCAATGACTAAACTCACATATAAATATGTGTCTCCCTATATAAGGGTTGCCATAATTATCCCAGTTAATCCTCTTTAACATAAACCCTGTTTCATTTCCACTAGCAGGGACCAAACACACCAACATTTCAAGTATAACAATGCACATTGTACGTATGTATGTTTGCTACTGCAAAAAAATGTCTTCTCTCGTGCACAATAAAACAAAGGTAGAGGCATGCCTTTATTCAGACTAGCATGACGTGTATCACTATACTATTCACAATAATAAATGGTTTCAAAAAGACCACAAAATTATCTCTTTTCATATTTTATATTCAGATTTGCCTGCTTCAAACAGTAACACACAAAAAGTAGTACTTATGATAGGAAGCTCCAATGCTTAATTCATGGACATTCTGCTAGGCATTCCTGTAGCTAAATACCTCCATGTTCATCTTTTCAACTTTGAGATGAAGGGGAAAATAATCTGGTTTTCTTTTTCACAGTGTGCATGCTAATGATGACATGTGATAACAACTTTAATTACTTACAGCATGAAGTCTCTCTACAAGTTTCTGATCACCAAGACAATTTTTAGTGTCAAACCATGAGTCAAAATCCTGTGGTGACAAACAGCACAATTGGTTTGAACAGTTTTATCATCTGTACTTTTAACAGACACATATTGACTCTGTTTCATTCCAGCTGAGAGTGGCGTAAAGCTTGAGACAAATTACTTCTGTGAAAAAACAATCAGTCTGCAAGTCTGTGCCATCTCCCTGGTATGTTGTAACATTCGAGTCAAGTGCATCACTCTGTAGACAAAATATTATTATACTCTGCTTAATATACATCAACTTTCCATGCTCTCACTGCAGTGTCCAAGAGCCTCCCATCAGTGCTTATGTGACTGTTGAGGGTTGGGTGTCCTTCCTTTTCCCTCTCACCTATGGAATTTTTTGCCCATTAGTTGCAGGAAAACCTGATGGCTCGTACTTGTTGGGTACTTGAAAAACACAGAGTTTGGTTAGGCCCAGGGGGGAAGGGGGCAGGGGAGGGCAGGGGCAGATGGGGGCTGGCTGGCTTCTTAGGCTGCAGAACAGGACCCTCTCTCTCAGAACTGTTGCCGTTTGGAGAAGGGAATTCGCCATCACCCAGAAAGAGCTGCTTCTCCTTCTTTGCTGGTGGGCCTTGCACCCCCTGTCCTGACAGGACGTGTGGCAGTGCCAGGCACCGCCGCGGAGCTGCTGATACACCTCAGTCACCGGCCCAGGATCTCAGCTCATCCCTGCTGTTCCAGCTGAGTGTTCCTCAGAGCCCTGCAGGAGCACTGGGACTGACTGCCCGAGGGGGTTTGTGAAACAAAACCTCTCCTCCATCCCTTCCCGTCTCAGCCAAGAAGGCTGTCACGGGGTCCCTGGTTCTGTTTTGTTGCTAATGCTGTAGTTATTGTTGTTTGTTTGCCTTGTTATAAATACTAGTAAAGAACTGTTATTCCTATCCCCAGATCTCTGCCTGAGAGCCCCTTAATTTCAAAATTATAGTAATTCGGAGGGAGGGGATCTACATTTTCATTCCAAGGGAGGCTCCTGCCCTCCCTACCAGACACCTGTCTTCAAAACGGAGACAGTGATGATGGGACAAGAAGTTAAAAAAAATCAACCTGAATCCTTAAGAAAATTAAATTGACAGTAGAGCAAAAATAATATAAGCAAGTAATACAAGCACAAAGATTAACATTACATTAACAGTAAAAGTGAAGAAAGATTACTCAAGTTTTGAATTTTTAAAAAATGTCTTACGCCTATTTGGATGCTTCATATTCTTGATACTTCATTACAAATTTTGCATAATTCTTGAACTATTTAAAGTATAACATTTGCTATTAATGGTCTGAGGCCTCATCCACACCAGCAGAATGCACTGTTTTAACTATGTAGAGTAAAAGAAGTAGTCTACAGTAAGCCACAGAGCTTTCCCTGAACCTGGGTTGTGCACAACGTCCATCTCCTACTAGGCTGGTCATTCTTCTCTTCTACTGACAGCAACCTGGGAATCAATATAACAATACTATACTTCCAAACATGAACTTACATCTGCAGAATTGAAGACATCAGGTAAAAGGAAATTGAGTAATGCCCACAGCTCATGGAGGTTATTCTGTAAAGGAGTTCCTGTAAGCAGCAATCGATTTGTTGTCTTGAATTCACGTACAATCTCTGACAGCTGGAAACACAACACAGTTATTAACACCATCTACACTAAAGCACAGTGAATCAGTTTTTGAAACCTAAAACAATGAAACTTAAATTTATAGATAGTGAGATACTATAAAATTCGTATTTACCACCCAGTAGCTCATTGTTTTGATTTTAAAAAAACACCACACCTAACACTTAAAATCTGCTCAAAGCAGATGCAATCTTTTTGTATCAACCTTACTTCAAAGTATCAAACAATTTCAAATTTACCTTAGACTTCTCATTCTTTATTCTGTGGGCTTCATCAATTACCAGGTACCTCCAGTTAAATTTCTTGAAAACTGATTTCTCTTTAATTATCATTTCATATGATGTAACACAAACATCCCATTCACCAGGCATCATAACATCACGGATAAATGCAGCCTGAAGCAGAAGAACTGGATTAATAAACATTTATAAATATGAACAATTTTTATGGCATCAGGGGAAGCTGTCTCCACCACCATCACTGATGCACTAAACTAGCACACACAAGACTCTGAAACAGCTCCGTAACTGAAAGTTACTGCAATAAAAACTTTCAATCCTTTGTACTTTAAGCACAGAAAAAGCTGGAGTTAAGCAAAACACAAATTAGTTGCTACTCAGAATTACCTATTTGCTCTTCTACATCATTTCTCTGTAATTCAAGCAGAGTACATACAACCAAAAGGGAAAAAAAAAACCTTCAAAATTAACTTGCCCAAAGACACAATCCAGAAAAGTGTATGAAAACAACTTAACACATCCCACTCCCAACTATCTTCTCTCTTCCCCAAATACCTTCCTCTTCTGTCCCATCTGTTTTGCAAGGCACACATTAAGGCATATAAATCCTTTCACATGAAACATCATCCCATGTGAAAGCCACACAGACAGGTCTCCTGTGGCGCACCTGAGGCCATTTCCTCTTGTCCTATCGCTTACAAAAACAAGTTCCCTCAGCCGCTCTTCCTAAGATCTGTTCCCTTCTCTGAACACACTCCTGCACCTCAATGTCACCAGTGCCCAGTACAGGGGGACAGTCACTGTCCTGGTCCTGCTAGCCACACCATGGCAGGTACAAGCGAGGATGCCACTAGCCTTCCTGGCCACACTGCCAGCTCCTATTCCCTTTCTAGAACCTTTCTAGCCTCAAGCAATAGCAGGCAGCCATACAATCCATATGAGCAGACACAGAATCCCCTTCAGGTAGAAAAACATTCTGTATCTATTTTAAGGCCTCCACAATGAAAGATGAAAAGCTCCACAACAGAATCCTAGTTACAAGGCCAGGCAGGCTTAAAAATACAAGAGTGGGAAAAGTCACCTGAAAAAAGGAGAAGAAAAAGGTAACAAAGTCCAATAAAGAAAAATGAGTATGCACTGTCACATTACAAATATGGAAGAGAGATAAAAAATAGGTGCAAAAATCAAAGGGAAAGACAACAGAAAAACAGACAACTCAAAAAGCTGCACTATGATCCCGGTCTATTATTACATCTACTGATTTTCAGTTTTTCCTCATAGTCATAAGCATAACATTTTGTATTTTCAATATTAATGCAGCTAAAGATTACTAAAGTATACTCTAATTAAGGAAATAGCTAAGGGAGAATTTCAGGTACCCAACTGATATTTTTTTGCCAAATAATGCATACATTTCTGAAATGTAAAACACTTACTCTGGCATCTTTATCTCCAATAAGGCAAACAGCACGTAAGGACGGAACCCAGCGCTTGAATTCATTCATCCAGTTATGCAAAGTTGATTTTGGAACCAGGACCATATGTGGCCCAGGAATGTTTCGGTAATGCTTCAGATAGCCTAATAAAGCTATTGTTTGCAGAGTCTTACCAAGCCCCTGCATTGACAAAGACAGGAGAGAAAGAAACTTAGTGAATTGAAATACCATAAAGAAATACTTTCAAACCATTTTCTTATCATATAATTTTGCCATTTGCTTAAAGCAAACTACACAAGAAATCTTTGCAATAGAACCTCTTTCATTACAACTTCAGATTTGAAAAATCAGACTCCGGTAGAATGAAGTATACTACGGCACCTACATTAAATACTAAAAGCACTTCAATGCTGTATTTTGGTCAATAATTGCCACAAAAAATCCAAAATATTACTGCTTACCATTTCATCTGCCAGAATACCATTAACTCCATTTTCATACAGTGAGATCATCCAGTTCAAACCTCTAACCTGATAATCTCTTAGTGTTCCTCCTTTCACATCTGTAAATGGAAGATTCCTCTAAGTAGAAAAATACTAATTATAAGTAGAAAATTTTAATTGCAATCTGCTCAGATCTTAATTACATCAAATCAATCACAGAACTCCTGACACCATACTTACATGAAGGAGACTCCTCAAACCGAATACACACATTGGACGTTTTCCGACTCTCAGACAAGAGCTCTTCATCCTCCTCCTGCTCCGTGCGCCTGTGGCGGTACCTAAAGAAAGAATCCAACACTGATGTGTGAACAAAATCACTTCAAAACACTGCTACAAACTCTAAAGACAAATTACAACAGAAACAATCACTGACCCAGAGTGTGAAAGTTCTGGTGTCCTGACCAAACTCTCATCTCGTTAATATGTTACTCCTTAGGAGTCATTCCAGCTTTAATTAGAAAGGCTGATATGAAGCCCTCTCTTTCAGAGCCACAACTATAATCTAACAATATCATGAGTTCTCCGAGGCACTTTTTAATGAGCAACACAGAAATACAAGACACATCAGTGCTAGCCATAGACTCAATTATTTGATAATTACTGTGGTAAATAGAGACCCTTTTGTTCGCCTAAACATGCAAGATACGATGCTTTGCAAAACTATGCTTTGTAAAATATAGGATGAAGTTGAAGGCTGCTGCTGACGTTTGTATAATTATAAAAAAACAGCCTTGCAAGCTCTCTTGAATTCCAGAAAGTTAAGCCACTCAGATAAGCCTTAAAAGGAGAACAGTGAGGAAAGGTCAAAAGAGGAAGACTCCTGATCTTCATCCTGCGACCACCAGAAGGCAGAAAGCGACCACCAGTGACCGGAGGCACATGCGCAGAGACACCCGAGAAAGGACACGTAACCCGGAAGTCGGACCACTTAAAAGGGAAGAAACGGAAATCAGAAGCGCGGCAGCCGATGGAGCAGAGACTCCCCTGCCGCCCAGCGCTGATTTTTGCTTATTGCTTGCTTGCTGTAATTAATAAAATTTTTTACCATATCACTCTCTTGAGTGCGTTCATAACAATTACAAAGTTCAGAAAAATCACACATTCAAATTTTTAAAAAGTTAAAATTTCTAAAATAGAATCTCGTTTTTCAAACATTCAAAGAAAATTGTTGTTTGTTATTTCAGGACCTCTCAGAGGCACTACAGGCAGTCTCTGCTGTAATACTAACACAGACCAGTGGAGAGAGACAGTTGGTGCTGAGGATCCAACAACCCCACTACATCGACACCGCCTTTTCATAACCTGGTCTAGCCCCACCCTGGTCCACTACCAGCTGGGTCACATCAGGTGGACTTCTGGAGTGCCCCTCCAGCATCGTGCAAAAGAAATTCAATTTGTGTGCTCCAAAGTCACCCCACAATACAGACCAAAGCATTTTCACACGGCAAGAATCAGGCAACTTTCTTTAAAAGTGCATTTCTGATCCAAAGTCACACTTCTGTTGATGGAGCAGATGATGCTTTCAAACCAACCAGCTTTTAAAGAAATTGATACACCACTAATAGGAAATTGTCTGGATTTACCAGAAGTAAAATTGCTATGCACAATCTCTAGATTATGTTAAAAAGTCTAAGTTGCTTGAACATGTGAGAAGTCAGAAATAAAACATACTCCCCAGCTGAAATCAAACTCTGTTTTTCATCTTTCTTCATCCGTGGCCGTCCCAGCTTGACTTTCAGTGGAGATGTTGGCGATTTTTGTGCTGCAGGTTGAATAAAATGTGCAAAAAGCTCTGTCTGCTTCAGGAGGAATTCAAACCTTTTTGCTCGATCTGCTTTCTAGTTTCCAAAGTGGAGAATAAAAAAATAAAGAAAAATAGATAACTTTTCTTCATAAAAACATCGTTTTGTTAAGAAATTTTGTTAAGAATTTAGACACTCATGAGAACAACTTATATGATGCAAGACTGACAAGACCATCTGTTAAACAACTCTGAGGGCCAAAAGCATTGTGAAACAGCTGGAACTGCTTCACTGCACACCAGCAGTGGTGAAGGGACAATTTAATCTTTGTCTACAAAAGACAGAAGACAAAACTAAAGTAATGACTTACAGTAAGGGATGAAATCCTAACCTTGCTCATCAGTGGCAGAACTTTCATCAGCTTGAAGGCTATTAGGATTTGATCAGACAACAGTGTAGTAGCTCTGTTTTTAGAACTATTTCTGAAGTAATGGATGAACTGCTTTCACCCAAGTTTGTGAATTTTGCTGTCAGATTTCAAATTTCAAGCATTTCAGTTTTGCCATTTCAATGGGACATGTGCACTTCACTATGTCATGCAGCAAAATGTGGCCTTCCTTATATTTAGAATATAACGTGTTATGTCATTTTTAAGAAAAATATGATAAAATGTAAATTCTATCTGAGAGAATGCAATTGTTATCAGTTTCTCTATGAGAAATCTAAGCATCATGTACGTAAGGCAATTTCCATTTTGATCTCGTATCAGGAGGTAGACAACAGAATTGAAATGTGGGAACTGACAATGGTCAAATAAGAGATTTTTAGGCTTCAGGCATTAGCTTGAGCCTATGTGAAACTAGTTCTCACTCTGGCATAAGAAATCATAAGGAGGAATCCAAACAGTCCTTAAAGAAGTAAAACAGCCTTTGCAGGCGTTGTCTAGATCCTTGATGTTTACTTGCAAGAGACAGTCAAGGGGTAGCGTTCCCAATTGTCCAATGATGGTCATGCGTTGGTTTAATGACCAATGAGAGTTTTACCTTTCAGACCTTCTCAGAACTGTCTATAAAAGAAGATCTGGAAGAATAAAACTTGCTCTCTTTTGCAACCAAGCTAAGAGAGTCTGTGTTATGCTTCCGCCGTTCCTAATATAGTGTGACAGTGAAACTGTACTTCTGCATTGTAATCTTTCCAAAAAATACTCGATCCACAGAAAGCCGTTCTGCGGGTCACTTAAAACAAGCACATCTCCCACAACAGCAGAATCGCCAACCAAAGGGCAGCAAGAATGATCCTGAAGTGCAATGCAAGATCTCGCCACATGAGGGCACTGCGTTTCTTTAACAGCGCATGACTTGGCAGCAAAGGAACATCTTTGCTACGATCTCCTGGGAAAAAAAAATTAACTGCTTTTCCTCCCTCGCATTATTATTGGAAAATTTCTGTAAATAACTTGACAACCGAATAAAATGTAAATATCAAGTGAAACGTTTATGAAAATAAGTTCTAGAAGGGGGAAGCAGAGACACAGTGTTTGTGATAATCAGTATAAACACAAATCCATTTAGACAATTCATAGTTAACAAATAATACACGATTGTTTTGGAAGAATATTCTTTGGTAAGGACCTATACTGAATGGCACAATATAATTTTCTGCCTGCAATATTATCGGCTTAGTATAAGCAGTATGTTTTGCTAAAACAGTAAAGGTCTAGCTCACAACTGCACAACTGGTAAGAGGTAGCTTTTTGATATCTAATCCCTTTGCCTCTTAGGACAAGTGAACTAACACTGTAATTTAGGAAAGCTGGAAAGTCACCAGGTATTACTGTGAAACAAGTCTAGCTGTTTACTCAACACAGATTCACTGTGTCTCTTCCCTTTGGCTAGAAATTAGGTATTCATACATGTAGGTATCAATTTTCCTATGTCTAACAGTTACACTCTTCCCTGACTTCTGTGATATCCAGACCTTTCAGACTCCACTGTAATTACTAGGCATCCATTTAACATTAAATCTTTTAAAAACAATACAAGATAGAGGTACCATCTTAAACCAAGAACTTTCTACAAATGTCATTCAAGAAGCCTTATAATGCCCTCCAGGTTTTTCCCTCTTTGTAACACAGAAGTTACCCTGTTACATCTCTCCAGCACTACAAGATCTCAACACTGGTGTCATGGAGAGATCCTCTTTTGCATTGTTATGGCACACACATTATCAGGCATTTCAATATTTAAAACCTTAATGTTTTTATATGAGAGAAACTGGCAGCTTCAGTATTTCAGTTCAGTAAGAAGTAGCTTAAGGATGCCTCTGAAATGACCCAAGGAGTCAAACAGAACTGGCAGAGAGAGATTCAAAACAAAATGGGGAGAGCTCTAAATATAAAATGCCACTGAATAGTAACTCCTTACCACAGATGGGTGTGGATAACTAAAGAAGAAACCACAAAACAAAAAATCCACTGACAACTACTGAGTATAAAAATCACAGGCTACAACTCCAAAAATCATGCAAAAATACTTAGAAGAATGGGAGAGTATTTAACAGAACTACCACTACCTGACCTGTTAGTCACTGTGAGAGACACAACATCTAGACATCTAAATGAATCTTGATCCATTTTTCTTTTCTGACACATCCAGTCTGCAAGAACTCATAACTGTGCTGATCCTGTTCCAACAACCAAGTGCCGTAAGGAGCTGCAGTACGTTTAGTCATGAAAGTACTTACCATCTTCTCTTCATATTCTGGGTCAACTTCTTTTTCAGGTCTAGCTGCCTTTGGAGGAAGTTTAAGGTGAAACGGGGGATCATTTTTCTGTAATTCAAAAGTTAAACATTTTATAAATACCATTTTATTTACTCTTTTAGCAAAAAGTATCAAATTGAAAAAAACTAGTAACTGCAAGACAAGTATGCTACTTTTAAAAAATAATTATTTCAAAATTAAATGAGTGCACTAATCATATAATTTCACCCAAAGCAAAACCTCACGTCCACAATGAAAATAAAGGTCCTCATATTTATCTCTACAAGTTGGATCCAAATTGAAAGAAATTACTGAAAAAACACAAAGTTTAATCTTTCACAAAGATCTTGCTGTAAATGCATACTTAAGTTTAATATCTTGAAAATACATTTTTAAAAACTTAAAATTTTTGTTTTCTAAATGTCAGATTCTTAACTGTAAGTTCCTGGCATTTGCATTTTGGTTAGGTTTTGTCTGCTTCCATTCCTAGATGAACAGCCACAAGTTCAACTGGAAACACAGCTGAACTACACTTACCTAGGAAGATACACAATCAACCAATTCAATCCATGGAGCAACAACTCCATGGTACACTCTCAGACAACTGAAGAACCACCTTATTTACAATATATGAAAGAAATCTAAGTAATTTTAACTAAAATGGCTGACTTTTGTAGTTTATGAGATTCATACCTGTCTTCAATTGTGAAGCTCAAAGCAGGTTTTCCACAACTGTATTGGTAAAATGATGAAATGGAAGACTTTTCTACGCCCTAATTTAGGAAAATTTTCCTAATTGGTCTTTGAAATATGCCAATAAAAATAAACCTATTTTGAGATGCATTAAATTACACAAATGTTTTTGAAAAGCTCTGAATGAACTGAAAGGAGCTGCCAGAGTGCATGTCTGCATAAAATTTAGCACTGCAGAGTATTAATCTGCTTTAAGTGCTTTGAGTATCAGACTACTATTAAATACATTAAATTAAAATAATAGTTACTCTAAACTATTCAGGGTCCAGTAGCAAAGCCAGGCCAAAATGGTACCAAATTTTTAAAAATCTGTTAAGCAACATTAAATTTAAATTTCAGAACTATTACTGATAAATACACATGCCAGCTTTTTCTTTAAATACAATCATGCAAATGGGAGCAATATTTTCTGAAGTCAGTGATTATTGTTTCAAGTTTTGCCCAAAGCCATAATTCTCTGCAGAAGTGTACAGTACTAAGTGTATAATGAAGCTGCTTGACAGCTTAATGATTTTATAAATGCTCCAGCTCACCTTTGCAAGGCCAAATATTGCAAATAGGTAGGATTAGAAATATTCTATTCACTTAAATGTTCTTCAGTCATAAAAAAGCAAGGTTACTCCAACATGCCAAAGAGCAGGTCATACAGATGTGTATATTCACACCTCCATTATATTACTATACAACATACATTCCAAAAAGAGAGACTGACATTGCTATTATCAGGTCCAGTCCTTCAACTGAAGTGTTAAATTATTCCTTAAATGAAAACAAACTGACAGTAGGCAATTTCAGGCATCTCCCTCACTTGCCCTAAAAATTAATTTAGATAGGTATGTGTTACTGGAAAAAAGCTGTATGTCTGCCCCAGGTAAGTATAAAGTTTCTTCAAGCAGAACAACTCAGTATTATGAGAATCCCTTAAAACTCAAAGCTTTCCAAGTAAATTGCAATGCAATATTATCTAAGTCCCAAGGCAGATAGCTGCAATGACAGTTATGTTGTTACTCAGATTATCCCAGAAGGATAAAACTTACGGTGGCATACAAGCAAATTTATTCTGAAATAAGTGTTTCTAAATAACACTAACTCTGAGTGAGTTAAAGTAGTAAATGAGCTGACATATTACTGCAGCCACAGTACATAAAATCACCCTGTACATTTTACCCTTCATGAAAAAGCACACTGTCCCTGTCTCCCCCCAAATACTACTTACTGCAGTGTTTCTATTGAATATTGATGGCTCAAAGTATCGGAAATAATAAGCAGGAGATTATCAAAAGCCAATGAAAGAGACAAACAAGATACATGCATCTCTGTGCCCCCTCTCTTCCTCACAACTCAAAATGGGGAGAATATGCTGCAGGTTCACTAAAATACAGCACTGTGCTGGTGGTGCCAGACAGGCAGGGGACAGGCATCATATCCAAACTTGCTTCTGCATAATGCTCTGAATTACAAAAATCTACGCCTTGACAATTACTAGATTTTGATATGAATATTTCCCCTTACAACTGGACCATGTGCCTTTATACAATACAGAAACTTAAAATATTTAATGAAGTCTGAGAGTTTTTCCCTAGAAACTTTACACAACGTATCTTCATCACTTAGAGGGCTGACTTGTCAGGAACCAGGACAGCAGAAGTCTCAGTGCAATTCAGCACCACAAAACTACTTTCATTTTTAACTCAGGAAACTCTAGAAATTTGTCTCTACTCTAGAAACTACTTCCGTTATAGATTAGACAGTCCCCTGAAAACTGCTGTCATTTAAACACCTTACAACATCCATGCAGCACTTTCAAAAGACCCTGAGTATTCCAAGAATACAAAATACTCCCCTTAAAATCTCTAATAACTACCCTAAACAGAGTTCTTAAATTCAGGCTGAGAGATTTCTATCCAGAAAGTTTAACAGACTCAAAGTGAGGAGGCCCCATGAACACCTAAATAAACAACTGGGAACAAGAACTACTGCTGCTTTAGTTGACTTTACTCTTATAATTTGTGCTATTGAAAACTCTGAACAGATGCACTAAGAATAATTAGAATTCCTTCCATTTTTAACTCACATATACAAGGTTGAAATACATTTCCAAATAGCCAGTAATACAGTTTTGGTAATACAACAAGGACTATTTATAAAGTAAAACATTGAGAGGGGAGCGGAGCACAACAGGTTGCATGACTGCCACGTTATGCAGACGCTCTACTGTACAGTTGACTTGCATAAAATTTTGCAGAACAAGTATATATATATATGTGAGAAATGAACTTGTAAAAATTCGTAAAAATCTAAATAAATGTATATAACAATAACGAAATAAAATATAAAGTACAGTATGACACACAAGCCCTTCCCAGATCTAGCCACGAATTCCCACTCAAAGGATAACGATCCTAGCCGGCGCCCATCAACAAAAGAATAGACAGGACGCGGCCCATCAAGCTGACAGAAAAAAAAAAAAACTCCTCAAACTGACAAGGACAGGCTCGGTGACCATCAACGGGGAAGAATAGGCAGGACACGAAACATCAAGCCAAAACGGAGAGGCACCGACGAGATATTCATCACCGGACCCGAACACCTCGCCTTGCGGGCTACCGTTGGAGGAAGCCATCAAGTAAACAAAAGGAAAAATCCAGCCGAAATATCCATCGGCTCCAACCCGGATCCAGCCATCCCATCCGGATGGCCTGAACCACAAGAGCCACTCAGAATTTCTTTACATATGAGGAGACTCGGTCCGGACGTCCATTCGACTCTATTCTCCAATGCCAGGAAATCAATTCATACGACAATCAAGGACTGTTGATGAATGGTGCCTGCCTGGAATTTGGCCTCAAGGCTAAAAATCCCTATAAAAACCCCGGACAGTTTACCCTCCTGCGTGGATTTGGGAACACCTATACCTTTGGGTATAGACCCCTGTCCACCCAGCGCTGCGCTGTTTGTTTTATTGTGGTTTTCCCTCATTGTTTATTTTTTTATAAAAATTGTTTTATAATAAATTGTTTTTATTTAACCCAAATCTGCCTTTGCATTTATAACATATATATATATATATATATAATAGAGAAATGGCCCTTAAACATTTTCCCTTAAGCAACCAAGTAAAGTTCAGGATTACACTGAACTGTGTCCCATAACTGTTTGCATACAGAATAAAATAAAGCTTCAAACATTCCTTACAGGTAATGGACTATCAGTAACTGAGATAAAAAATCGTAATGTATTGTTATCAGTAGTTGCACAGTTTTCTCCAGTATCACATATTAAAGACGGTCCTCATTCCTGCTAAGTTTTTTCTAAGATTCATTCTTCGGGTTAAATCTTGTTCTGTTTCCAAGGATACCTAAATACGTCACTTTCTACATATCTTGTGTCTTTCTTCCAAAAAACTAAAGGGAGGCGGCTGGCAGCCATACGTGTTCTCTCGAGGGGTATATTCTGCATCAGGGTACAATTCGAGCTGGGCAAGCGGCAGAGGGAGGCCCTGACCTCAGTCAGCCGCGAACTCTCCGGGCCGTCCCCGCGACACTCCCACCCCAAGCCCTCGGAGCTCCCGGGTCCGGGACAGCTTTGGCCAGGGCACGGAAGAAGAAACAACAGGGCGGGGGGCTAAGGAAGACGGGCCCTGCAAGAACATCCAGGCCGCGAGGCTGACAGGGGGTCTGCACGGGCTCAACGGTCCCAGCCCCGTGCCCGGGGCCGAGCCGGGGACATCGCAGGGCCGCGCGGACGATAGCCACTGCCAGGGCGATGCCGAAGGGCAGGCATGGGGACAGGGGTGTGTTCGGGTGGGGCTGGCCCGTAGGGCCCTCGCGGGCCGGGGCGGAGGGACCTGGGAGGCCTCAGGGCCGGGCGACGCAGGCCGAGCAGCGGCTACAGAAGGGGGCGACCAGGCCAGGCTCCACCACCCGCAGGGGCCCCCCGGAGCGGAGCGGTACCTCCTCAGCACCGGGATCCTGCGCGGCGGCTATGGCGGAGGATGTGGAGGCTCGGGGCTCCTCGCCAGGGCCGGAGCCCAGGTCCATGTTGAGCTCGGTGGGTGCCGGAGGCACGGGGGAGCGGGGGCGGCCCCGTCGCGCCGCGCGGTCCCGCCCCTCCTCCCGGTCCTCGCCGCGCGACTCTCGCGATACCTCCGCGGGCCTGGGCCGCACTCGCGCTTCCCGCGCCGCCCGAGGCGGATGGTGCAGGCCCGGGTAGCGCGTGCCGCTCGGTCCGGGCCTGACGTGGGGATCGGCGGCTCTGCTGCTCCCCTCTTCCCGAGTGACACCGCAGTTCTCAAGTGAGAACGTGGCCAGGGCCGCTGCATAATACCACAGACTGGTTTGGGGTCCGCCCTCCTGCCATGGGCAGTGACACTTAACACTCCCAAGTTGCTCCAGGCTCCATCCAACTTAGCCTTTAACACTTACCGGGATCCAAGGGCAGCCACAACTTCTCTGGGAAACGTGTGCCCGTGCCTCACCACCCTCACATTAAAGAATTTCTTACAAGTAATTAATCGAAATCTCAGTTTAAAACCGTTCCCCCTTGTCCTGTCTGCCCATGTAAAATGTTGCTCTCCCTCCTTCATGAGCCCCCTTTAAGAACTGAAAGGCTATATCTCCCTAGAGCCTCCTTTTCAGGCTGAGCAGCCCCATCTCAGCCTTTCCCCACGGCAGAGGTGCTCCAGCCTCCAAACGACCTCCATGGCCTCCTCTGGAATCACTCCAACGTGTCCATGTCATGCTGGGGACCCCAGGGCTGGGTGAGAGTCTCAAAAGAGCAGGGCAGAGGGGCAGGATCCCATCCCTCAATATGCTGCCCTCGGTGCTTTGGATTCAGCCCAGCAGTTCCAAACCCTGTTCCAAAGGGCAAGTGTGTTTTCCTAAACTGCCTCAGGTGGTACCAGAGAGAAAATCTGTAAGCATCTGCAGGGCTAAGAGGTACTAGTAGAGTTCACAAAGCAAAAATAGCTTACAGGATTTTTCTTTTCTTTCTGGGCAATTTTAAATTCAGCAGTGTTTGCACATTTCTTTTGAAAATTGCAATAATGAAGCCACTCAGTTTAGTTACTGGCGATATACCTATTTCCATGCAAGTCCACATAAGTCCATGCAAGACATTCAGATTTTCAGCTGCTGCACTGTAACATTGTTCATATTGCTAAAGAATCCCAAAACAGTCCTTGAGCTGGTAGACTTGAAAAATATAGCTCCAAATCAGCCGTGTTACCTGGGGTTTACTTACAAAGGCAGTATCGTGAGCATTTTGTCCACTGGCAGCAATGAAACCTTAGCTCAGTGGGGAGAATGAGCAAAAAACACTACTTCACTCCAGTAAAAAGCTCAGTAGCTATTATCAAAATCTTTTTGCATAGCTCAACAACTAAGCTGAGCAAGTGGGTTATTGCAGATCTCATACACTGCATATAGAAAAACTTCTGAGACTTCTTTTCCATCTATACATTGGTTCCAGTGAAGTGCCAGTAACATATGTCTGAACTGTTTCCATGACTGCCTGATTACTCTGAAATTCAGTATCTAGATTATGGCCTATCATACCAGATTTAAGCTCCATACTCCCCTTTTTAATTTTTTAAACAGCTGCAAAGCAGTAACAGTGCTGTTCCAAATTATTTAGCACCTTCTGTGTATGCTACATAATCCGCAAAAAAGCAAGGCCCACAGCGTCTGCAGTAGCCCTTCCACATGGCTTATTTTTAAAAGCTTTGGGAAGTACTTTTATCATAGAGCAATCAAGAAGAGTGATGTGACTGGTTTCAAAAGAGGACTCTAAATAGGTTTTCATAGCAGTGCTCTGTAGAAAACAAAGCTTACCATTAGCTACGAGAAAGTCTCTAAGGTGGAAAAATTCCAGTTAAGATGTGGTACTTAACCTTTGGAGAAAATAATGCACTAATCACTTTTAATATCTGACTTTCCTTCTCCACTTTCAAATGCTTGAAGCTTCTGTTTATTCAAAACACTCTCAAGTGTTTGTCACAGTTTGTTTTTTCCTTGAAATTCACAGGAACGTTGTATGCTGTACAAAACAATCGAGCTGATGCTTTCATAAAAGACCTCCTTTGGCTATTTTTTGCTTGTGTGCTTCTCATTTGCTTTACAGAGATGTTCTTAGCTGCTTCTCTTAGACTATGATGTGAACTCCTTGTGTGCAGTGGCTGAAAAAATCACTTAGTCACACAACAGTATTATCATATGATAATCCAAGTAATTATTTTTAAAAAGTAGGAAATGCTTTTTTGTGCTTTGTATACTAGATTTTGTAGTCATATTTGAGAAATTCTGCTGAATATATCCAACTGGGTTGTTTTTTTTCATGTGTTGGGAGGCAGGGGTCTAGTTGTCCTGTTCATGTTGTAGATTTAGCTATTAGCTCCTTGTTTTCCCAGGTTTATTACTCCATATTTTAGAGTCTGCCAGATACAATCAGCAGGGTTGAATATGTGGTGTCCTACGCAGCAGTTTAGCAGGCCTCCTCTGCACAACTAAGGAAGATGCCACTTAACATACTGTATGATGAGAATTATGTTTTCTTGTCAGATTTAGAAAGATAAAATGCAGGCTCACTCTTACCCACCTTTAAACATTGCTGAAATACGTAAAGAGCTGATAAGATACAGATCCAGTGACATTTTTATATACTATCCATGTAATTCCATAAGATTTTAAAATTTTGGACAGTGATTACTCAACCTTTTTCCAAACAGGAGACTAATAGTAGCAGTTTTCATTTCTCTAGCACAGTTTGGGTTTGGGTATCTTCTTAAATAAATCTTAGTATTCTGCAGAATTACTTTCCAGGCCAAGTTGCTATACAGGCCCCTTTGTGTGTGTTGATATGTGCTGGACCTGTAAGCCAGCAGGCTGCTGAATTCACAAGAACAAATAAACTCAATACACCAAGAATCTGCCATATCCCTGCAAGGCCACTAGTAGCGAGAGGTTTGTAACTCAGACCACAGCTGAAGAGCAGTGGCCATGGCTGCTAACTAGAAATGAAGTGAGAAGATTATGTAGGCACCTGCTGAAAAAAGAGGAGCCTTCAAAGACCTTCTGAGCCCCTTAGAAAGCGGGTGGGGTTGGCCCCCCAACAGTCACACCTCCAGGTACCTCAGTGTTGGTGAAATGGAACCGTGTGAAGGTACCGTGGGGATGGTGATCTCCCGTTAGCAGTAAAACCTTGATTCTGTAGAAAACAACAGCTTAAATAATATAATGTGTCTTAGATATCGGTTGTGATGTATATCTTTGCTGGTTTGAAAATCCGAATTCCAAGTGGCAGTGCTGTTGTCACGTGCCACCAGGTGGCAACACCGACCTGTACTTCGCCAAGGGAGTCCTGATAACTATTCCGGCAGCCTGAGAACTATTTGATTTGAATGCTGCTCAGTCTTGAAACTAATTTGATCAAGAATAGGAAAAAAAATTTAAAATATTTTGTAAACTATCTTTTACGTGTTGTTCTTTAATTACCCCTATAACTGTATCACTCACATATAGCACCTTCCCTTAGAATGGCAAAAGGGTTTTGTTAAGAAGGGCTTTGGGAAGGTTGTATCCTGTTATTCTGGGATCTGTTCACTCTTGCGTGCACATTCAGGAGGCTCTCCACTGAATGCCATAGTCCAAAATCCACTTCTAGGACAATGGTCATTTCTAGCTTAATCATACCACCAATGAACTTAAACCACAACTGTGCAATACATGTTAACTGTGGGCAATAAACAGCTTTATAATTCAGAAAGCAGCAGGACCTGGAATTAACACAACCATCTCTGAGATATTTGCAAGATGACTTGAATCGTTGCCACGTTTATCTCCATGCCTACATCAGCCTCTCAATGTGATCAACCACAGTAACCACACATTACCCTGACTGCAGCAGTGTTACCATCTTGATTAAAATGTTTATATCAAGTCTTTCTATTTTAATATTGCTGTTAGTAACAGGTTATTTCTTTACCAGTAACCTTGGATATGTCCAGTAGCACAGTTCCATGCATTCTTGCGCTTACCTGTGCAGCCCTGTTCCATTCAACTTCTTAATTAACAGATTCCCCTCCAAGCTTACTGACTTCAGGGTTCCAGATTATTTTCTTTTTCACAGGATTCGAAAGAAGCCTAGGACTCCCCCTCTAGAGCTTACAATAAAGAAGATACTGCTCAAATGTGGTTTTGGTTTGTGTGCCACTCATTTGTAAGCCAGGTTTTGCTGAAGGTGACTTTTCTGAGGATGTCCATGTCTGCAGGGCTTTGCAGTGGCCAACCAGATGACAGCACTTCAGTTCATGGCTATAAACAAATGCTTCCTGATTCTGCATCAGTAACTGGCAACAATGTGCCCTAATAGACTTGAATATTCTTATAGAAAAGATGATTTTTTTTGTTGTTGCTTGGGTGTTTTGTGAGGGTTTTTTCTTTGTTTGTTTTGTTGTTGTTGTTTTTTTATTGTTTGTTGGTTGGGTATTTTTTGTTATACAGGCTTCATTTCAACTCATCAGTTTTCTGTATCAAGTTTTCATTTCACCCAACAAAGAGTCTCTGGTGTTGCCAATAGGGTTTGCAAATGAAAGACCACATTCAGCATTGGGAACTATAACAAAATAGCTAATGTGTCCTTTGTATCTGGTTCAAAGAGTTGATAGCTGTACAAATACTCTTTGTTTTTACAACTTTATCCAAATATTGCATTTTTAATCCAGCTTTAGTAGCCAGAGCTTTATTATGATTGTGGTACTGGAAAGTCTTCTCAAGTCTTCTAATATCCCTGTATTTCCCAACCATGCAGGTTTTTTGCTGATTTTTTTTTTTTTTTTTTACTGAG